GCCGATGCCGGTGTTGAGTTATATAGATATATAGTTAAGGCTTGGGAGGAGTCGCATGACGCTTTAGGTGTTTTCTGCGACTTATCCAAAGCATTTGATTGTGTCCAACACGAGACCTTAATCGGGAAACTCCGCCACTATGGCATCAAGAATACCGCACTGAATCTTCTGACTTCCTATTTACACGGAAGAACTCAGAAGGTTGAAGTGAATGGTAAGAGGTCCTCTGGGTCGGCAGTAGATATGGGGGTACCACAGGGCTCAATTCTTGGCCCTTTCCTCTTTCTTGTTTATATAAATGATCTACCTTTCATGGTAGAGAGAAAACATCAGATAGTTTTGTTTGCTGATGACACGTCCTTGATTTTTAAAATCAAACGACAAATAACAAATTTTGACGATGTGAACAATGCTCTGTCTTCGATTGTCCATTGGTTTAGTATGAATAACCTTCTACTTAATGCAAAAAAGACAAAATGCATTAAATTTTGTGCAAAAAATGCAAGGGTTATGGATACTAGACCAATTATAAACGGTGAGGAATTGAATCTGGATGATACAACTGTATTTCTCGGAATCACCATGGATTCAAAACTTCAGTGGTCCCCTCATATTAACGGATTGGCGAAGAGACTTAGTTCTGCAGCCTACGCGGTTAAAAAAATTCGCTCACTAACTGATGTCGATACAGCTAGACTTGTTTATTTTAGTTACTTTCATAGCTTAATGACTTATGGCTTATTATTATGGGGTCATGCTGCTGATGTCGAAACTATTTTCATCCTGCAGAAGAGGGCTATTCGTGCAATCTATAATTTAAAATGTAGGGAATCTCTTAGAGATAAATTCAAGGAAATTAATATACTTACCTTTCCCTCGCAATATATTTATGAAAATATTATGTATGTATACAAAAATAGTGATAAGTTTACTAGAATAGAACATACGCACAATGTTAATACACGGAACAAACGCAGGCTGCAATTTCCCCGTACTAGACTATCTAAAGTTAGTAATTCTTTTTTGGGGAAAGGGATACTCTTCTTTAATAAAATCCCAGAGGCTCTTTTATCACTGCCTTTCAATAAATTTAAGAAATGTATTAAAGAAAAGCTGTGTAAAAAGGCTTACTATAAAGTCAACGATTATCTAGTTGATAAAAGGGCCTGGGACTAGTGCTAGACAGGCTACTTCTAATCAATTTGCGATATTTGTTTTAAATAAGTGTTGTTTGATGATTTGCTGTTTTAAAAGAGTACCGAGAGTTTTTTACGCCGGCTTTTTCTCTCGGCCTACACCCTCTGTCTTCTTTGCCGATGAGTAGGGATGCCTTCAAATTTAATGACGTGGAATAAGTGATACATGTATCTTATGTTCCATAATAAACATATTTTATTTTTATTTTTTTATTTTTTTGTATTAAGGCTCTCCAGAGGGAATCATGTTTTATAGAGGCGAATGCTTTACTGTAGTCTACAAAAGCGATGTATAATGCTTTTCCGTATTCTTTGCACTTTTGTATTAGCTGTTTTATAACATGTATATGATCCACAGTTGAGAATCCGGATCTGAATCCAGCTTGTTCCATGGGTTGTTGTTCGTCCATTGCCTTCGTTATTCTTCGCAGGATCATTTTGGAGAAAACTTTATACATGTTGGACATAAGGCTTATAGGTCTATAGTTTTCTATGATGTTCCTGTCACCCTTTTTGTGGAGCAGTGTAATTATGTTCTTCGTCCATTGAGAAGGTATGTAGGTATTCCGTTTTTAGTATGGTGTTGAATAGTTCAGTAAGTTTTCTTAAGTTCCCTGGTGCTGCTGATGATACTTTGATCATCTCATTAGTTATGTGATCCGGTCCAGGCGCTTTTCCATTTTTTAGGCTTTTGATAGCATGCTCCGTTTCTGAAAGGAAAAATTTAGGTAATAATGATACAATAGTTAAAATCTATACTCACGTGTTTAGGGTGTTAAGGGTGTTCTAATCACTAGCTCAGTAGTACCGCTAATGAATGTTTTAAACCCGGACGAATAATACTTGTTTTAATAAATAACCCGTATTTCAATCGTTTTTAAATATCAGATAAAAAGTAGATTTAAATTGAAACTTGTAATAAAATAATAAATTAAATAATTAATAATTTTTTATGTGGGATTTTTGACTTATTTTGAAAAATGCTAAAAATCTCAAAAATGCTTCTCTTTTGCATTATTCATATAGAGGTTAAAATTTACGGAAATAGTCCCTATGGTGATAGGGGATATGGATATGGTCCTAAGGGGAATACCAATAACCCTGTATATATATTCCCTACATAGATTATACTTTTTGTTAAAAAGGTACTTAACGGTACTAAAGTTGTTATATTCAAATAGTAATCGAATAACTAAACTAGATATCAAAGGTCATTGGACTGATTGAGCAATACTGGTTGTAGGCTAAATTACTAATCTAGCTTGGAAATTATAGTTACATAACAATAGTACCTTCACTTGCTTTGAATACCTATATTTTCTTATAGTCTCGAAAAATGTCTGCTACTTTGCGCCCTCTTTGTTAAAGAGGTAAGGTATTTTAATTATTTATTTAAAAATGAAAACTATATGATCGATTATCACTATATTGGCTTAAAATGGGTTGTCTATACTCTCCCGAACCGGCCTTTTTTCGCCGGCAATCAGGCTATGAGCGAAAACATCTGAGGCTCGAAGTTGACTTTTCTACATATAGGCGATCATTGAGTCAACGTTACAAATATAGAAGTCAATAGTCCTGTTTGTCTCAGTATATTATTCTATGTAATTATCATTAATTACTCAAGTACCAATAGAACATAACATAAAATAATAATATTTATTTGTGCTATATAAAATCTAATTTACTACATCAACACCACTATTAACGTACAAGCTTTAAATTGCTCTTGGAGTATTTTGATTTTATCAATCTAATCTACTACTAATCAAATTAACAAAAATACGTTATTCAAAGAGTTAAAAAACCGGAAGAGGATGTTTTTAATAAGTACTTTTGTGTGTTACTTATGTATGTAGCTCATAATTTTTAAATCTAATATATAAAATTCTCGTGTCGCGGTGTTTGTAGTTAAACTCCTCCGAAACGGCTTGACCGATTCTCATGAAATTTTGTGTGCATATTGGGTATGTATGAGAATCGGACAACATCTATTTTTCATCCCACTAAATGTTAAGGGTAGTCCACCCCTAATTTTTTTTTAATTCATAGATATTTTTTTTATATGATACAGCATTAAAAAATACATACAACCCCTAATTTCCGCCCCTCTACGATCAATCCCTATTTTTTATTATAAATGATAAACATGGAAAAACGACGTTTGCCGGATCAGCTAGTATAGGTATTATATAATATGAAATTTTAAAAAGATCTTTACAAAAACTTATTTTAAGTTGTTCACATCCGCATAGAAGTTATCTCTCAATCTGTTTAAAAAAACCGTTCTTAACAAATACTTTTTATGAATTCTCTTAAGGGTGATGAATATTTACATACGACCGATCACCACGTTAAATTTCATTAATTTTTCCTGCTCTTTGTTAATTTCCATATTTGCCAATGTTATTTATTAATTACGACTTCAAAATCATATAATATAGTGAGACTTTTGTGCGTGCTTCTATTTGTTTTTATACTGAAAGGCAGGGTTTATATAGTTTAACCTTTATCAGTTCCTGTATTAATTTATAATCTTATACCCCACGACTGATAATGGCACGCCTTTTTAGTCATTAAGTCAAGAATATATCGAGGTATGAGACTCGCACTGCAAAAATGAGAAAAGACTGGAGAGCTTTAGAGGAGGCCTTTGTCGGAAGACAAGTTGTAACCGAACTACCATTTGCCGATAATCAATAGATATTAAAATTGTTAGTATATTAGTTAAACTCTAGTTTATAGTCAATATGTGTTTTTTAGTCATAAGTAAATTAATTTTAGGCACACGAATCTACACTGTGTAAAACTTGTTAACAACAATAAAGGCTTGTTTATTTTTATTTATTTTTTATCGAGGTATGTAGAGGGTTTAATATTTATTGTTAATAAAAATTGTGTATAAGCTCGTTCTTTATGATACAAAGATATATTTTATAAATGCCATAAATAATTAAATAACGAAGAAAATACTTTATTAGAATTATTAGCCTGTTATAGGACCAAACAACGCCTACGCATTTAAAGCAGTCAGTAAATGCAAATATTTGCCTTTGTATGCGTTGGAACATCTTGTATTGTAAAATTGTATCTGATTTATATAAATATGTGAGGAAAATATGTATTCACAAGAGAGATTTAAAAGAAATCTATTGTAGTGTTTTACGTAAGAGTGGTATAAGCCCGAAAATTACTTTGAAACAATAAAAATAAATAAATATTGATTAATATTATATTTATATTTATTTTTATTTTCTAATATTAACTAGTATTGATTTATATATTCAATTTAAATCACTTCTGACGCACAAACAAAATTCGTACTTGTATAATGAAAACAAAATGAAAACACGTGTTTTAAATGTAGAAACTCAAAGCATGTGGATAAATATTATAAATATAAATACACAGTGATCAGAGGCGGCGTGCGTGCCAACATGCGCCACTAACTTCATTCTGTTAATTTTGTGTTAAATTTCACTCTTAGCAATTTTTCATAACGTGCCTAAAGAAGTATAACTTCAAAAATGTATGCCAGTAAGATGCATTTAATTTCATTTGAGTGATAGGACTACTACTAGGGAAGTAACATGATATACAATTTTTACATAAATTGATATCGAAATATTTTTATATGAATTTTGATTAAAATCGGCACAGCAATGTATCCGGAGAACCGCCCGTCTTAATACCCTCAAGAAACAATGCATTCATGTCCCCCTTCTAATTTCGATTTTCTTCTGTTTTGTTTTCTGTCGTGGAGGATTGATTTAGAAATCTCAATATTATTTAGGGGCAGTAGGGATGTACAACGAAAGTCACAGTGCCTTTGATTGTGATTGGGCAAACGGGTTCACGGACATAATATACTGCGTATTAACCCACTGTGAGTGTTTATCACCAAAAGCAAAGGAGCCGCCGTCGCTACGTCTTGAGTTTAACAAGTACCGTGTTCAAAAAGGGATACAATTAGATGTTTTTTTATTTCTTTGTTTAATATTAGCGCTACGACACTGAGCCTGAGGTTTACTTGCGAATGCTATCGGCTAAGATTCCTCTTATGACGAAAATTATTACAAAACGTAATAAATTTAATCTTCATTATTAATTAAATTAATTACTAATTATGTATTTAATTCATTTACATATTTTACTCTTTGTATATTTCTATCCATATATCCTCATTGGCCTCAAAAATGATCTGAGTGAAGCCAAACGAACACTACGAACAATCTTTTTATATTTTTGTTTTATCTTTCTAGAATAGGTATCTGCGCTACTTTAAGGTTTTGGTAATTAAAATTAATGTCTATATAATAGTAATCTAGCGGCTCTTCAAACCTTTGCTTTGCCCTCGCATTATTCGATATTTATTTAGAGGTAAGTAGGTTATCAGCATGCTATACACATTGACGACTAAAATTTGTCCGTTTCCTTACGTTTTCCTTCACCATACAGTGTTAATTGCGCCCTCAGTAAAAGGGGCAGCCGAGGTTCAACCGCACAATCTCAGGGCTAAAACCACATGTTTATTTTTAGTTACTTTGCAATATTAATAAACATTATTAAAATAATTATATCAATGAGAATGCATTTTTCGTTCAAAATGCGTTGACGCAATATTAAAAGTTGTACAAGATTCCATATAGTAATTTACCACGTCACATTCTAGAACATTCAGTGAACAATGACAACAGTGTACGCGTTTTGCATATAAACACGGCTGTACATATAAAATATGTAATTTGATATGGAATCTTACAGCATACGACACGATTATAATTAATGTGAACCACGGCATAGATAAAGATGACAAGGAATGTGGCACCGCAAGCGTGCAGCAAGTATGAAGCGACCTTAATAAATGTAGAATTTGAAAACTGACTTGTACAAAATTCAACTAAAAGAATACTAGCCATAAACATTTCTTTTTAAAATAACAAACGAATTTATCGCATTAAATTACGTTTTAAATATAATATTTATTTTTGTTTATTTCATTTAAAATGCAACTTCATCAATATTAAAATAAAAACTGTTCCAGCGTTTCGACCTTTTAGGTTGGCACCATACTCTACAACTCTCCATAGGATAGCACCATTAGAACTGACAGAGTACCCGTGCTGCGAGACATGTGACAATAAATGCCTCTATGTTAAATTATCTTTTTCAGTGAAGTATAAGGATACCCAGAGGCTTAAGACAAAATGGACAGTCGTGACCCACTAAACAAATTTGTATGGGAATGACATGAGTTCACGCTATGTCACGTGACCATTTTACAAAAAAGTCCTATGGCGTTACGCTTGTCGAAAAGTGATTTTCTCTCAAGCAATAAATGTAGTAATCCTTTACAATAACATTATTAACTCATAGGAACTCTTGATATAGATGATTACATAAAATTATAAGTACAACATTCATTTAATGATTTAAATACACATGATCGAAATACACATGATCGATAGTCTAATTATTTATAAATGTCTGTTATTAGGTAACTTCGTCATGAATATAGTATTTATGTCGTATTATCGTCGATTTTTAAAGCAAAAACATTCATTATTATGAAATAATGCCGCCAAAAAGTTTCTCGATGCAAAATGGCGTCGCACTGTTCCGATGATACTCGTAAACAACTTTGTAGAGTTATGTAGTTGATCCTTCTGTGTGCAGCGCCAAAATTTTATTTTATAGATGTATACCCCGGAAAAACTATTTATATGCCAAACGATGTCAAAATGCTTCGAAAGTAAATAATTTGCATACAGTATTATACAAAGACCAGATTAACTATGCCTTTGCGCGTTTTGCAAATGTTAACTAATTATTTTAACTTTAGCATAATAACCTTAAGTGATAATTAATTTGAAAGTGTTTCATAATATGACTACACCATGATAAATGTAAGGCTTTATTGTACTTACTTAAGTTATAATTTTTCTCAGCTTAAGAGCATAAGAATCGTTTTTTTTATTAACTGGGAAAAAACAACTTTTTACGACGAAATCAATCTTCAAAACAGTATTAAGCATTTAGATTATAGAGGCGAAGACATACTATTTACTATGCTACGTCATCGTCGATTCGACTACCTCTGACAGTTTGTTACGTGAAGGCATTTTGGCGAATAAGCACATGGAAGGTGTTTGACATTGACGAAACAAACAAAGTTAACGTCAATTAATGTCAGTGACAATATGGTCTGTGGTTACAGTTTGAAAATTTAAAGAAAAGGACCGTAGTCCACAACAGAGTTTTATTATGATTATTAATATAATATTAACCTTTACTCTTTACTTCTTTTGAATAAAAAGACTAAGATTTTATATAACAACAATACTGGATACCACGAATTTCCTACAAGAGATCGTGTACAAAACATTTTACCATATTATGCGCGAGCGACGTCTCAATAGTTATAGCATTGCAAGAAAGTGAAGCGAGGTTTGTTCCATCAATTCTACTGATTGCTTTGACTGAATAGGAATATAAATTACCATATTTATAATACTCTTTAGAGAAACAAGGCTGTCCATGAAGTATAATAATAAATGAATGTTAGATACTTTCGTATATCATATCGCGTTACATCGTGTCATATATCGTCACGTCTAAATGCATTCTTTGATTACCTAATAATCAGATAATGCAATTCAGCCAAATTAGTCGAACATTCAACTAATTAATATAACGTCTAAGTGGCAAATCAAATTGTCGATTAAGCTGAATCTTATAAGTCCAAGATTAAAATAGATCATTGCTTTTGTTAAGACGTTGTTATCGTAGTGATTTAGTTCTTATGAACTAGAAAAAAATGTTATGTATTTGCAATAATATGGTACAATAATGTAATTTTTTAAAACTAGTAAGAAAATCTTTTAATGTTATCTTATCAATTGAATTTGATGTGGTATTATCTAAAGTTCGAAATTTAAGTACCTATGACTTCTGTATTGGAAAACGCATAGTGTAAATACAATGAGAGCATGGCGAAAAATAATAGGTATATTAATTGAAACGTGGTAGAGCACCCACACTGATCATTAATTAGGGTAAATATTATAATTTAGTTCACGACAAATGAAATATTTTTTCGTACTAATTTCGATAATTCGGTAACCGAATTTTACGGCTTGCATAATGCCTGTGCTTTGTTACAGCGGGTGGGAGCTGCTCTTTCTCCGCGCCTACGGATTTAAAATAACACTCTAGGGGAAGAACAGACTAGTAACAATTACCTCGATTATAAAATATAGTTAAGTTTCCAAAAAATCTAAATAAAATAAACGCAGAAGCACATGCACGTAAACTTGAAAGTAACAGATTGAATTTGTCAGTTTAATTTCTATCAAAATCTACATAACATTCATAGTAGCAGTTTGCGTTTCGCTTCACATGTTTTGAAATTCACGCTGCTTGAAATATTAAAATAATTAAGGGAAAAGTATCAAATGTACGTTTCGTTTAACGAATTTCAATACAATACGCAAAATTATATTTAATTTTTTTTATACTTAAACGCAACTCCGGCGGCCAAAATTACTTGGAGGCGTTCCAATCAAGGTCCTCCGAGATACCTACATAATCAGTATCACCAAATTCGGGCGAAGTATATCAAAATCCAACCCGATAATTCCTTCTAATTTATATATTATTCTCTTTTTAAGACGATTTGTAACCGTGAACGACGACTTGTAATTTCAAAGAAAAAATTAATAATTTATTGTCATTTCTCAATTTTCGATGCCGACTAAACGTTTATCTAATTTATTACCTTGTTAAAATTATATTAATACATATTTAATAAATTATTCGATTTTCGTAATATTGTTAACTTTTAAATTTACGTTTTTGTACAAATTTCTTTTACCACGTCGCAGCAAAAAGTTTGTTAATATTTATCTTATATCGGAGGTGATTAATGAGTGAGATAAAATATAATTTATTCATTTTTAAGATTATCTTATTAACATGGAAATGCATGACTTAAAATAATAAAAAATATAAGATTTAAATTTAAAGAGCAGTGTTGGAGCAGTAGTTAATCTCGTGGTTTTACTTTACTATAAGATCGTGGCTATGTTTTTCTAATTTACTCTTCAATCCATGTTTTTATTTGAGGGACGCCAAAGGTTGGTCATAAAAAGCAACTACCTTTTATATATGGACACCGATTTAGTCTGTGGATACGTTTCATTAAGCTGTCTTAGATATGCGTAACACTTGCAGCCAGATACTAGACCCCAAAAATAGACCGACGCGCAACTGTGACTACGACGAAAATAATTAAGGACATTTAATATAGATAGATACAGATATTTAAGAACAAGACACCGCCGCTAGTTTTTTTTAATTCTAAGGTAGGTAGACTTATATTTATTCATTCCAGGCTTCAAAAATGTTGCTTTCGAGCCTACAAACACTATTTAATCGTTTGAAACTAAATGATTGTGTATTGTAATGGCGTCTATTGCGCCGTGTTATATACGTTATATGTATTTTGTTAGTAACTATGTCGGCCTTTTGGTCAAGATTACCATAACAGACTCTGTCTTCATCTATCGTTGATTTGATACTATTAATCAAAGGGGGATTATTAAGGATATAGTTATTTCGACAAGAGTCGAACCTAGAGCGGGTTGTATAACATCCTTGCTAATTACTAAGCCACAAAGATGACGCAGCTTTTTTGACGAATCTAAGAAACTGTATTTTGTAAGCCTGTATTCTAAAACAATTGGTTTTCTTAGCTGTCCATAACAGATTTCATTCTGAATTGTTTCGCAGTTTGTTTATGTGGAAATGTTTTAATACTTTTGCATTTTACATAGTCTAACATGTATTTTATACGCGTAGGATGTTCATAGCCAGTGTAGTTTATATTACGGATAAAAATGACGATATTTAAATGTAGAGTCCTTATTTCTTATCAATAAAGGTTGAGCATTTATATATTTCCGTTTAAATAAAACAAAAATTATATCCTAAGAATTAAAATGTGTTCCGGAGACAGTTCCTTTAACTAAAGGTAGAAAGTCTTAACTTAATTTAAATCCAAGTTTGTTTAATAAAATCCAGCAGCCGCGTTATATGGCTTTTAACAAGCTATGGACGAGTCGAAGGCAAAATAAAACTGTACTGTAGTTGAAGGGTATGTCCTTTATGTAGCTTAACCATCTTATTCGTAAGAGGCAATAAGCCCGAAAAGGAAATTGCTGATGGGCAATTACCACTGATATAAAAATCAATGTTTTCATGTCTTTTAACGTAAAACAGCAAAACTTAATCCTCACCGCGATATGAAGTGTAAGTGTAATACCAAAGCTCTCCGTTCCAACCGACAAGCGGATAACAATACAAATTGTACATCTCCAACCGGGAATAGAACTCCAGGCGACTCCTTTTAAGTAACCACAGAGACCTACTTAGATAATAATTCAAATATGTTTTTGACATTTGAATACGTCCATGAGTCGTCATATTATAGTGTTCCAAAAAATCTACTTAGATATTCGCGGTGTGCCAAGGTCACACGTACAGGCACTGCTAATCGGTATTGTGTCATCTCTGGAGACTTGAATAACCAGTTTGAAATCTTTCTCAATTTGGCGGTAATATAAAGACATTTTTTTTTCAAATTAATCGTTCCAATTAAGTAATTGTCCAGTATTTTTCTGTAATTTAAGGCCTGTCAACTGTATATACGAGTAATTTGATAATAAATACGGAGGAAAAACTTCCGTAGACAATTAGATTTTTTTTTACATTTAAAAAATAGTTACACATGACAGTAAATCACGAGTGACGTAACTGCCCTGCGATTCTGTAACTCACTTTTCGAACTCAAATAGCGGTTTTCGCATCGGCGGTCGCTCTCAAATCAGTCGTGAAGCAGTCATGTTATGATTTGGCATTCTGATAAACTACAAGCTCCCACCTTTTCAGAATGCCAAATCATAAAATGCGAAAACCACTGTGTGAGTTCGAAAAGTGAGTTACAGAATCGCAGCGCAGATGTCGTAATTGAGAATTTTCGCGCTCAATTTCCGATCTTCGTAGAACAATTATATAATTTGAGATGACCTTCACAAATACAACTGCAAATGTCTAAAAATGCTTCATATTTGAATAGGTCTTCTATTCACAGTTCGCATTAATAAATTTATTGAAACATCGAATAATTCGTCAAACATCGAAAGTCGATAATAATATTAACAATAACGCGTAATTTAATCCCCTCATCGTAACGTTTTATTAAATGACCCCCCCCTCCAAAATTCGTTACGTAATACTTGAACACTCCCTTACCGCTTTTAATTTCCTAAAGATTCCTATTCCTGAACATATACTTTTAAACGGGATCTAAACATACTAATAACATTTTGAATAAAACAGTAAAAACGTATTTATATTCTATATAACGCACGAATAGAGATTAAATAACGATATTATTTCAGTGTTCGACGCATCAGCGAAGTCCCCACAAGGTCTGCTTTTTGGTTCATCCTACCATTTGGGTAACTTTGACGAGTGTATGGATATAAATGAACCAGGAGATGGGTTGACTGTTGAGGGACAATACTGCCTTGCGACTATTAAATGGAGGGAAGGAGAGGAAACCAAAAAGGTATATCTCACAAACAACATCATTTTAAATATTATTGTTAATACAATTTAAGTACTGCAAGAGTTTTATTCAGTTATGATTTAACTCTTGTAAATGTTTGGCGGATTCTGTTTTCTTAATTATTGCATATGTTTAAAAGTGACTCGGGTTTTTGAACCGTTATTTATTTATTTATTGACATGACAGACACATCACAAATACAAGGTCTGTATAAATATATGTATATATATACAAGTAATAATTATTGTACTTGTATTGGTCTTACGTTTCACAGATAAGATTTTTTTTTATAAAAGTATGAGTAACATATCTAAATAATAAATATAAAAACAAAAATAGACACGAATTTGTAAACACGGCAATATATATATTTTAATTTTTTGCAACTCAACATCTATACTAGGTGAGTTTAGAGATGGGAAAGCTGAGAAAATTGGATCAGACTAATAATCGGTCCATATTAACTTGTACATTATGTCGCGGACGGAAAGTAATTTTATTTCTTAAGATAAAGCATGATACATTTCAAGAGGTAAACTAACATAAGTTTATGAATATTATTTTAAAATGTTGCACATGAATAAATAAATCTTATGTATGAATAAGAGGTGCAAGTTACATATTAAGGGGTCCTGTGTATTGACACTAAATGTTTGAATAGCATTGTAGATTTATATTTACGTATTCGTATTCGTATTCTAACATAAATACATACATATTTGTATGGTTTGCTTTTTGTAACAATAATCATTAAAACAAGCGACCTTATTTGATTGAATATTTATTTAGAATAACGAAATGATTTATTTACGGTTTAGTTATTGATAACGTTTTTGAAGTTATACTTCTTTTGGCGCGTTAGGGAAAAATGATGAGAGTAAATAAACGAGGCTCGCGCACACCGTCGCAAAAAACCGACACCCTGAAGTTAGCTATAGTCAACATTTTAGTTTTATTATTACGTAGAATAAATTTTTTTTAAAGATTTTTAACTTGTTACGCCAAAGAAGTATAACTTCTAACTCGCGTACACCTTTTTTATTAATTGGGATCGTCCATATTACTGACATAGTATCTTTACATAGCATTGTCGACAGAAACAAAGTTTTTGCCATACTATTTTCAATGATGATTACTACATAAACGTTTCACGTTCTCGTATCGTTACATAAAACCCATATTAGTATACCAGAAGATATAAAACAGTTGACAGCTGACGATGGGTGCGGCTTTGTAACCTCGGAAATAAAATCTTTTGTTTATAAACTAATTCCAACGTGACCGATGTTCCTCCTATTAGGAGGAAATTACTTCTAAAACCATTGTAGATATAGATGTGCCTTTGTTTCGTTAGATATTACTGAAGCTCACATTTAGTAATCAATTAAGTATATTTTGTTAATATTAAAGCTCCTCCTACACAAACACTTTGCATTTACAATTGAATATTGTGTAGATATTCTTAATTCAAAATTCTGTAAAAATACACTTACAATTTAAATTAAGAATTTGTAGTTGAATTTCGAATATGATGGTTAGAAATTGTAAGTGGTTTAAAACCTCATCTATAACATGGACCCACTCGACAAGTAGGTCACGCATTCCCTCATAAAGGCCGTCAAAGCCTTTGTAGCCAACCTGTGCGGTAATAAGTTAATGATGAGTGCTGTAAACCCAAGTTTTTAATTGGATGCCTGTTTTGTGTTTCAAGTAATTATAAATGGCGTTAAATATCAACAAATTGCTTGAAATCATTGATTTTATATATTGTAGTGGAGTCAATTTTATAGATTTTCCTTATAAATAGCTAAATACCAACTTAACAATTTATCTGCCAGTCTGTTTAATTATAAGATTTCCATTGGCGTATTTTATACATAATATGATTTATAAAAGGTCGTGATAGTAGATGTAATATTACTGTTTGTTGTATTTTTTTATTCTTAGATAGTCTTTTTTTTATTTCGTTCATACCGTTTTATTCCACAAATATCACTGATAACGGCGATTATTTGTTTGTGTTGATGACTAGGATAGTTAGGAGTGGACAAAAAAAAACAATAAAAACTAATTGATTAATTAATTAACACTCTTTAAGGAGCAAACACATCCTGTATTAAATGTTGCGTTTTATACTTAATAATTATTGGTAACATACATTCAATTCATTAAATTCATACAAACTAAAATATATTGTGTAAAAGCAAGAGATGAAGTGTGACTTAAAAAGAGTGAAATGATAAGTTATTGCAAATATTTGGAAAAGATAGCTCTGCGAAACTGAGTAAGTGTTGGTGGAAGGGATGAAATTTCATTATGTCTTTAACCTCATTACTAGCATATGTATTACAATATGGAACTAGAATTTATTTTGTTGATTTACGGATATTGCTTAGAACTCAAGAATATCAACACTATTTAATTAGCAACGAATACGTTTCGAAAGCACAATAAATATATAGTACAATAATATTTCAGATCCGCACTGGTCGTGGTGAGAGTCTACGTTGGGCAGTCTGTGTACCAAGTGTATGCGATGCGCGATCAGTCGAGCGATTTGTTGGCGGTGTTTTGAAACATTCCGTTGGAAATACAACTAGAGTCGAAGTCATTGATAAGGATTGCTATACACGAAGACCGTTGAGTGTTAATAAGCTTGATATTACATTTATGTAAGTTTTTGGTTGTTCGTATTAAATACTTGAACTCAGATCTCCAAGATGAACTCAAAAGGGACCCTTGTGCGTCATACCTTTAGGGTATAATTGTTTGATTATTTTTGTTTAGAGGTGATTGACCGTCTGTGCGAACGGAAAGTTTTGTACCAAAAAATCCATTAAAATATCTTGTTACAAACATTGTGTATTCAAAATAATGACCCTACGACGCGATTCATTCTTTATCCAAAAAGGTATTTTTATTCGTATACCCGATGATTATCGCCATTTACAAATTACAAATAAAAAAGCAATGGCGCTACAACCTTTTAGGTTTGGCCCTCAGATTTCTGTATCTGTTTCGTGGTATTTTGTTTGTTAATAGGCGATCATGCTTAGGTAGTTATCAAGCAAATAAGATTGATATATATTATAGATATATATATATATATATATATATAAAACCGTTGAGATAATTAAAAATGATTATTACTTCTAATTATTAAGTTATTTATACTGTTGTCTTTTATTTTATATTTTTTAATCTAATTAAGATTGTCTTGGCATTTCGCACTTCCATGCTTCCTTTTGTAAAATATTCTATAAAAACTGCTTGCATTTCGTGAGTTCTTTGTGTTTCCTGTGTATTTATTTTATGTTAATAAATAAATATGAATGGAGTTATTTAGCAGCCATTTAGTTTTGAGCTTAATCACTAAAGTAATTATGTATGTTTAAAGAGTAACTTCTATGCCCTTTTGAAGTTAACCCTTTCGCATGTTCAAGCAAATTCCGACAAAAACGTGACGCATATATTTACATATATATTAATTGATAATGTCAACGACCTCATTAAAAATTCTTATGTATCTAGTTTAACCCGTTTTACTTTAGTTGGTCATCATTTATTTCCTAATATATTGAAAAGATTATATATGACACTAAATTACTTATCTATCAATTTGTTTTAAAACATTAAAAGTATTAAATTTTTTGTCCCATTAACAAAATTTAATAAAACATAGTTTTAAGATAAAAGTCGTTTGTATTTAAATATGTATGAAATAGCTTAGCGGTTCTCAACCCGTTAAAATCACGGTTGTGTGACAATTATTTTTTAATGCACAATAAATATCGTGAGAAATCCAGTACTTAAACAAAAAATATATGACATGAATCAAACAGAACATGCTTATAAATTAAAATTGTAAATAGTGCAGATAGAAGTTTGAGGGATACCCAGTAAGAGTTGTAGCATAATTTTTGGACGTATTTATAGATAGTGAAACCGAATGTTATTAATTATTACAGAAATTGTTTCCATTGATTGTTAATTAGTTGTCGTGAAGCTCATCCATTACCCTTGAAGCATTGAGATCGATCTATCGAAAGAATTTTACTCTAGTGAACTAAATATACAACGAATACGGAACATTTTACGTTATTTTTGCTATAGGAAATTTCTATATGAAAAGTTCTGAAAATATTTTAAAAGGGGCGTCATCGTGAAATTTTTTCTTATAACGTTTATTTAACCATGAGACATTTTGCTATGCATTTAACTATAATAACATTTTTCTTGTTTAGATGTAATATTTGAAAAATTAACGGAACATCTGAGTAGTTTTGACTAATTACATAAAATAATTTATTATTAATTTTTAAATCTAAATTACAAAAAGTTATATTACCAAAAATCTAATACTTAATTTTGGCATGTACCTACTTTTCGTAGATTTATGTTTTTACGGGATTAAGAGTCACAACCCCGTTTTTTGCTGGTCTAAGTTTTTTTATTTTTTTCAGTGTTATCATTGTTTTTTTTGGCGTTGTACTGACGTTCACCACAATATATGAGATATATGCTATACGACACAACAAAAAGGGAGGTACGGCTCATGATCTCATTGTGTCCTTTTCACTTATTAATAATATGAAAAAAATACTTTCGACAAAGCAGAATAATAGCTTGGGACTGGAATGCGTCACTGGAATGAGGGCATTGGCAATGATTTTTATAGTAGCAGGTCACGCCTGTCTATTTATAGGGAGTGGCCCAGTCATGGACGCCAAAGCTTGGGATAGGGTGAGTTTTTTTTTTAAAACTATAAGGTATTAATAACCTCCAAAAATGTATCAGTTTGATGATGTATTTGATGTGGGTCTATTTGGAAGCCTTACTTCCAATTTCCGTAAATCTATCTATGTCCCCAAATTTCTCAGAAACTATAAGTCATAGCGAGATGGTCGTACGACTTAAACCTAGCTTGATCAACAGTCCAAGTTATATCAAAATCAGTTTGATAGTTTTTGAGGTATCCACGTATTTCTAATAATTAGGATCCGGTTTAATAGAGTCCAGTTAATAAACAAAATTCATTAAAAATCAAACTTTATATCGTTATATAAAAAAAACAATTCAAACATTGTATTAAACAAGTTTTTTTTAAACTACATATTTACAATATTCTTAACCTTCATAGTAATAATAATAATTAAAAATGGATTAATAGAAAACTAAAATAAATTTAAAAAGTTGGGTCGCTTTGGTGCACCTTTAATGCTGGCAGCATATCAACAAATTCATGTTTTGTTGTGGTCCTCTTAACTCAAACATTTAGGATAGTGGTATTTGGGCCTTATAAATTTTACTAGCATTTAAAACTAATAACCACTTATGTTACTATGTTAAAATTATACAATAATTTACACAATATACACGTTTGGATAAAGATACATTCGAGGCCATTTGCAAAGCCAGTCATCGAATACTTCAAATCTATAAGGAAATAACATTTTATTGGATTAATATATCTAACTTAATCACTGTCGGAACCACTACGCAAAAAACATTGTTTAAAGATTAAAAATTCGCCAACAGCAAATATTTAATTTAACAGAAAATTAAAATACATTTTTTAGAAATACTTTCGACACTTGGAAATTTCAATAATTTTATTATTAATGTAGATATGTTATTTAAATTACATTTTAAAAGGTAAAATCATTTGGTTTTCAGTTAATCCAGGATCCATTAAACTCGTTTATGTTGAATAATGCACTTTTAGTGGACACTTTCCTCTTCCTTAGTGCTTTTCTCTTTAGCCGTTTATTACTGATCGAGTTGGATAAACGCAGAGGCAGGCTAAATTTTATACCAATATTGATCTTCCGATATATAAGGTAAGATAAAGAGAAGAAGAGTTCTATCTTAAGTTAATAAAATCCTAATAAATCTCTCGAAAGGAGATATTTTTGTAACACTCAGCCGAAAGAAAAAAAATCTAGAATCTGAATTTCGATTCTTAACAAAACTTTCAAAGAATTAATAGAAAAAAATATGATTGGTACTAAAGGTACCTACTTGTCATACTTTTTGATTTACACAAGTATCATATAGCAAAGAAAACAGTTTTTATAATTTCATGCGCCTGCGTCTACCCGTCATTATGCGGATTAAAAAGTCTGTACACTTAAGAGAGGCAATACGTATATGTATAATACAACTTTTTGTTTCTCCAGGGTTACACCGGCGTACTTAGTAGTCATTCTGTTCTACATGACATGGCTATCGAAAATTGGCGAGGGTCCTCTCTGGGGTAACAAAATACAATTAGAGCAAGAACGGTGCATGGATACTTGGTGGGCCAATATATTGTATATCAGTAATTACGTGATGACAGATCGTATGGTAAGCATATTTAATTTATTAGATGACCCGAAGTCCAAATACAAAGGCTTAATTACTAAAGTACTCTAGTCTCTTTCTGTCTTACTTTGTTCATAGTCACCGGCACGAACCAGATAACCTGGACAGGCTGGTTGTCGTCGGTAAGGTGACGTGGAGAGATATCAGTAGCGTGGCAGCTTTCAATAACGAGACCTTCAGAAATTAAAAATACGACTGAGAAGTCCTAGTGTAATACTGTAATGGAATGGGACAGATCACTGATTTAGTTAAAACAGTGTTTGTGGGAATAGTGTTTATTTAATGCTAATAAATCAACGTCGATAACGAAAATCTATTTCTGAATTTTCCAGCGTAGTCTTCTTTCAAACTTTCAAAATATAATAGACAGTGACACTTACCTTAAGCAATTGCCCCTTTCTCGTCTTCTTATCCTGACACGTAAAGTAAAAGCATTTTATTATTATGTTGATTTCAGTGTATGTTCCAGTCCTGGTACTTATCAGTAGACACTCAAATGTTCTTCGTGGCTCCCATATTCATTTACAGTATGTGGCACTGGAGAAGATTTGGATCTGCCTTAATTGCGATGGCAATTATAGTATCTCTCGTTGTACCATCAGCAATCACATACAAAGACCATTTGGATCCAACCATTTTGTTTTATGCGAAGTAAGTATCAATTTTATTAACTTAATGTTCAGATAGACAAGTCTGGGTAGATCTTTTAAATAATATCATGGTGACAATCCTGGGGTGAACGGGTATTAACTGAAGGTAATTATTTTGTTTTCAGAGAATTCACGGACTTCGACACAAACTTCTACTTCGTGGAAGCGTATATCAGAACACATATGAAGATGACCCCTTACTTCATGGGACTGCTCACTGGATATATTCTCCACAGAATACAATCAGAAAAGTAAGTTCTTCGGTTTGTAATGTAAATCTGGAGGTTACATTATTCTGCAAAGACGAAACGGTGGCATGTTTTATTCGTAATTTGTAATACATACATACATTCTGCTCTAGTCCAAAGACGGATCGTGTCGCGCGTCTTTGGACTAGAGCATCAGAATAAAGGAAACTGCGCCATTGTTTTCTCTTTTGTTTGAAAATCTTACGGATTTTTCCTACAAAGACTGCACCAATATGAACTAATCGCAAAACTTAAACGGTTAAGCTAGACTTATAACAGTTGACATGTTTAGTTCACAAAAGAAAAGCAAAATGAAAAGGTACCGCTTTCGTGGGTTAGTGTGTGTAATAACCATGTGAACAGACGTAGAAAATGTATCAACCGTACGCCCAAATGCCGTATCCACTGTTGTGAGCACAAAACTAGTAAGCTAACATAAATAAAATAAAATTCAACGTTTCAGTTATCAATTCTCAAACCTCCTAAAGACTTTCGGCTGGAGTACCAGCGTAATTTTGGGCACCGTGACCACCTTCTCCGTGAGCCTGTTCTACCAGGACTGGTACGAGTACAGCACAATCGAAGCCGCGGCATACATATCTTTACACAAATTTGCATGGAGCATCGCTAATGGCTGGCTTATAATTGCTTGCGCTACCGGAAATGGAGGTAATTTAAGGCTTAATAAAGTTTCTATATTATACCAAAATTCATCAAAAGAGATATAGGGGTTTAATTATTTTAGGATTGTATGATTCTCTAATCAGTATCGAAGGAGACTGACCAAGATTTGAAGGTGAAGTCAAAAAAAAGAGTGGCAGTTTATTGCCAATTCTTCTCTTCTGTTCTACGCCCTTGATGGTAAGAACTGGCAGTAAATGTAAAATTATACGCATTTCATATATATTTTTTTTGACGTTCATAAGTGTACGGTGTGTTACCTATTACATATATGAATAATCATTTTGACTTTTGAGTCAAAGAACAAATTAATAGAATAAAAATATAGTCAACGTTTATCAACATTAAAAGTAATAGATATTTTATGTACTCGTATATTTTCGCCTTACAAAGTAAAAACAGTATCAAAACTCGTCAGATAACAATAATGTTTTTATTCCAGGCGTTTTAGGAAAGCTTTTAGCGTGGAGATTTTTAGTGCCAATATCAAAGTTAACATTTTGCGCTTACCTAGTCAATGGCGTCGTGGAGTTGTACTACGTGGGACAGTTGCGACATCCTCTGCATATAACCTTCTTTACAATAGTAAGTACTTCAGAAATTAATATTTTTTCATTATTAGTGTAAATATAAGTATTAAGTAACAATGAAACAAAAGTTGTTTATACGTAATCATATATTTCAATAGTCACTTTATAATATTGAATTTATGGAAGAAGCGCGCTGCTGTCCAGTCTACAGACTAACTAGGTCCGAAAGACCGGTGGCTAAGGACAAGAAGATATATATTCTTAGCAGTAGGAATAATTTTGCTACCGCGATTCAGGGTTGAACTCACATAGTCGTTAGAAAACTATTTATACTATTATCTCATCGCATCGCCTTGGTGGCCGAAGTCATCCTCGGTCCGCTTCACAAGAAATGTTCTTTTGGGAATCTCTAGCGAACTGTGGAATCGACTCCTGGTGGAGATACTACATTAAATTGTTTAAAAAAAGAGTATACTCCTCCCTCAAAAGCCGGCAACGCATCCACTAAAATATGGGGTCCATGGGCTGCAATGACTGTTCTTTTTGGGAGTCGCGGAGGCTCCATTGTCCCCTATTTTCTTTCTAGATAAATATATAGTCAAAATCGATATTCTTTTTAAGTATTGGTTTATTTCAAATATGTTAATATGGTATGAAACAACAACCAAACTAAATTAAAACCTAACTATTTCATCTTCTAGTATAAAAATATAAACAATAATTGTGGTATTAATTTTAATAATTTTATCATTATTTTCAGGCGGCGAATGCAATCTCCCATTTGGTATTAACATTTTTCCTTGCCCTGATTCTGTGTATAATGTTTGAGTCACCATTACACGGCATCGAGAAAATACTGTTGCGGAGATTTTGTAAGTTATAAATTCACCCCAGAATTTAAAACGTAAACCTATATGTGTATCGCTTGTTCACAAACTATCAAATCGCTGATTGTATCGGTTTCACAGCTAAACAAAACAAAAAGAGATCCCTTCCAAGTTTTACATAGACCCGTGTATAGACGAAGTAAAATCCTATAAAACAATTATATTTCTGATTTCGTTTCAATGACGGTTCCACACGTGTACTAAACAACTATTTCTAATACAGTTGCGAAAAAATGAAGCAATTTAATAAAACTAATTTTCTCTTCTCTCCACGCAATAAATTTGTCGTATGTAGATATGTAGCGACATTTTGACTTTTCCGGTAAAATGTTCTACGAAGCATTTTGTGCAATTGTCCTGAGTTCCGGTGGTGCTAATTAATCAAATAAATTATAATAAAAAAATATTAATAAATAAAATATCGTCGAAATTACTCATTGCAACAAACAACTAAACTTGCAAATTACATTTTTGGAAAATGGCGCCAACCGTAAAATGAATGAAATGAAACCTAACCTAACTCATTGAATCAAATCATTAAATCTGATATTGAAACAAAGTAGCTTCTTTTTAGAAATATTTGCATGAATCAAAAAAACTTAAATTTTATTTAGTAAAAACTTCATGTTTGGTTTTTTCTTTTTAATATACATTATTTTGGCAGTTGGAATAGAGAACGCACGAGTAATAGCCCACATCGCGACCGCTATACGTCCCTGCAATACGCCACATTTTGAGCAACTGTATTAAAAATAACAATTGCTTTTAACATTTTGGTAGGCGTATTATTGTATAATTGTTTATTGCGATGTAAATGACAAGAACAACTCTTGCTTTTGATCACAGAAACATGGGTCATCGTTAAGAATGAATTAATTGATGCGTCGGTTGAACGGTTTTAAAATTTTGTGCTTTTATTATTTCAGCTCGTCCAGTCCTTAGTGACAACGCAACGAGGAAGACTGAAGACGAATTCTCACGTAATACTAGTCAGAGTAGGTTAGACACGTAGCACTAATTGTATTGTTATAAGTACTTGAGTAAAAGACAAAAGAATATATATTCTAAGGAAAAAGTCATGACAGAATGTTGAAGTCTGTCAAAAAAACCTTTTAATTGCAATGAAGAACTGGCCCGAACTTTTCAAAACTATATATATATATATAGGTACTTTCCAAGCAAAGCTTTAGATTTTACTTTAAAATAATATAAAAGCTGGTCTTTCCATTAGTACGTGTAGCTTTTTTAAATTATATCTCATGATAGTTGAAGATGTTTAGAAATAATAAAGTGTTTCTAAAACGACGGTGGTAGTTAGAAGCTAGGATTTTTAGGAAATTATTTGTAAGTTATAAACTGAGGATAGTAGACAACAATGTAATGGGAATACAATAATAGCATGAAACAGCATAATACTTAGCGTTATAAGTAGTTTTAATAAGTCTGACAAACAAATGTTGTTATATGTGATATCGAATAGTTTCTCAGATTAATTTTGAGATAAACATAAAGTCAAGGTATTTTACATAAATTAGTTTTATTACCTAAAATAAAGTAATTGTTAATACAAAATTACCTAACTTATAAATGCAATGTAATCCTCATTCTTGAATTTTATCAATTTAAAATTAGAGTAAATAGCGGTTACCCTATTGTATAGCACTCTTAGTCTTACTTGGTGTATTCTTTAAAATCTCTGAATATTCTGAAGTATGTCATTCGTAAAACAAAAGAGAATATGAGAAAGCGTGTTACTTCACCGTAACGTTGATTTATAAACTCAGAGTATTGTTAGGCATATAATGTTGTAAATATTGCTCAATTTTATACCAATTAAATATTTTTATAACAATCTATTTTATTTTGCTTTTTATATTCTTTTATGTTGTTATAATTAAATATTATGCAGTTGTATGTATGGCCTATCTACCCATCCCTCCCAATTATTTAGGCAGTCCTCGATTGACATCGAAACAATATTTTGTAAGAGGGCACCGAAAGAAAAATAAAGCAAATACCAAACCACCAATGAATAGTACCAAAAGCTATGTTGGCTCCAATATGAGTTTCCTATCAGCGTAAAGATACTTATTCTGCATTATAAAACAAAAAAATTAATATGCCTAAATAAAAGGAGTAAAACTAAACAGTAAATAAAGATAAAAAGCATTGTGGTTTCGGGTAACACAATGCTTTTTATATTTGAGATACTTGGCTTGATAAAGAAAAATTAGACATAAGTTAATATTAATATAATTCCTATATTAATGCTATCATATTTGAACCTTAACCTTATTACGACGGGTTAGATAAAATATGACTAGTTCATATGAACATGAGAAGTAATGTTTTAATAGTTTGAAATAGGTATCAGTTTTGTGTAGCACTTCAAAACTTCCAATCCCTAAAAAGGCCTCCCTCTGATCAAACTATCGCCCATAACCTCGATCGGGTGTGGTATAAAACTTCCTCGATGACGACCTTAATGCTCCGATCGGCCAGAAAGCTGGAGATCATATATATTGTCGCATAATTTATGTGGGAGCCCATAGGCTGGAAGCTTCAATTCTCTCGAACCATTCCGACCCTTAACCTGTGAACGAACAATAATCTCAAAACTTTGTGGCCGAACCTGTTTCTTAAGCATATCAATAATGTGGTGCAACTAAGCAACAGCGGAAGGGAGCGCGGTCGGTAGCTCCCCAGTATAAGCTCCTTCCACTTGACCATATTCAACGATGAGCGGTTCGAATCGTCGAGGACCAGCCCCTTTCCGAGGGGCTTGATCCCTTGGCGTTGCGTAGAGATGTGGGGCCACTCTCACATGCCGTATTTACCACGGAGAGTGTTCAGAGGAGTTGTTCGGGTTATTATCTGCAGCTGTTTCAACTTTCATTATCGGACGTCAAGGCAGGGTCCGAAATCTCGCGTTTTTTTAAGCAGTTTTTGTCGCGCACCACCACTATGTGGTACCAGCTGCCCACGGCAGTATTCTTATATGTATCACTTAACATAAGCCTGCTGCTTGTTTGCGCCCTGTTTTATAAAAAAAACACACGATACTTCAAGATATTTCATGTCATATGCAATAGGTCTGCATTGCTAAACTATCATAGAACTTTTTTTAATAAATAGCAAGTTTTGTTGTGCACGATAAAATATTTTTGTTACTATATTATATAATATGTTAAAACTTGTTTCCTATTAGCTTCGAGGACACCAAGATTCAATATAAATATAAGCATTGCAACAGCATTCAGGTTTCATTTGTTGAAGTGATTTAAGTAAATAGAAAAATGAAGGTGTTTATTTTGTTTTTGTTGCTTGTGACCCTTCTTGCTGTCACCTGTGCAGACCGTAAGTATTTAAACTTTTGTGTATTGTGCTAATTTTTATAATTTTTATCTAAAGAGCAGTAAAACTTTAAAATATTGGCATGTTGCCTCAACAATTTGTAAAGCAAATAAAAGATTTGATAATAATGTATGAGACTATAAAAATCTTTTTTATTTTGTATTTTGATACGGCTTTCATAAGATCCTGCATAATCTGCATTTTTATTTTGCGACCCATCATAAAGTCTTAAAAATATCAAATGCAGATATTCAATTATTGATATATTTTCAAAGCGACGAACTTTGGGTCTAAAACATGCACATTCCACGTCGTTTACCTTCAAGAGAAGTTTTTTTTTTAAGTTTAAGTTTAACTTGATTTATAGAACGAAAATAATACAGCGAAGGTTTGAATGTACGACTTCAATGTTGAGAGTCGCTCGATCATTTCATAAATTAATATACCCTGTTAAGTGAATTATAATAACTGCAGACCCAATAACCTCAAAATCAATTATAAAAACGAGTCAATTGAAGAAGTTGTATCAACCAAGTTTCTAGGCTTAACACTAGACCAAAATCTTAATTGGAAACAACACATTTTAACTGCACGCGCCTAAATAAATGTGTTTTTGCTTTGAGTCGAACTCGCAAAGTGACTTCAAAACACGCAGTAATTATTGCTTATCACGGCTATGTTGCCTCAGTTTTGCGCTATGGTATCCTTTTATGGGGAAATTCGAGATGTGAGTAAAGTTTTTATTACTCAGAAAAAATGTATTAGGGCGTTGGACCTCTTATAAGCTGTAGACCAATTTTCCACGAACTCGGTATTCTGACAGTACCAAGTTTGTATATCTTTGAAGCAGTTATGACTGTAAAGAAGCATCCAAAATTATTTAAAACATATAAAGAAACTTGCTTGTATATGCCGAGGGATCCAACACGGCTGCGGGTGCCTGCATGTTGCACCGCGCTATATTCCAAAAATTGTTACGCCATGGCTGTAAGAATATTTAATCACCTTCCTAGAAATTATAGATCGCTGCCATGTAATGTTTTCATGGGGAAGGTGATTGGGTTTTTAAAGTCAAGGTGCTTTTATAGCGTGACCGAATATTTAGAACATAAGTTTGACAATTACTTATAAATGACTTAGCTTCTTGTTATGACATTTGCATGCCTATTTATATGGCTGATTGTGCGGATTTTTCTTGTTGTTCGATTTTTTTTATTTTGTACCACTATCTTGGAAAATAAAGGATTTATTATTATTATTTATTATTAAGAGAGCAGTGTTGGCCTACGCTTCAGCGTATGTCTCTCATCCCTGAGGTCGTAGGTTCGATCCCCAGATGTGCACCGATGGACTATCTTTCCATGTGCGTTTAACATTCGCTCGAACGGTGAACGAAAACATCGTGAGGAAACCGACATGTCTTAGACCCAAAAAGTCAACGGCGTGTGTCAGGCACTGGAGGCTGATTACCGACTTGCCTATTAGATTGAAAATCTAAGGCTCAGACATAATGAGGTTGTAGAGCCACTGATTTATTTTTATAATCTGTAAAGACTTTATCGTGTAATTGTAATTGGTCAAGCGTCTCAGTCACACAAACATGCAATACTAATGTGCTTTTCTTTACTTTGGCTTACCTTACGTCCGGAGAATCAATATTTACAGATGGGACTGCAATAATGATTTATTTATTTAAACAATATAATCATATTAAGGGTCTGTTTCACAATCTATGGATAAAGTGCCATATAGCTATGCAACACAAATTATTTGAAAGATAAATTGTGCTATTTGACACTTCATCGGACTCATAAATTTTGATGGACTTTTTGTGACGAATAGCGCTATCTGACAGAATAAGTAATAAATAGCTAATTTGGAACTTATCCGTACATTGTGAAACAGACCCTAAGTGTTTTTTTTTGGTTTTTAGGTTCATATAAACCAGCTGTGATGGTTTCAAACATCAAAGGGAAGCATCGCGGACCCAGTGAGTTTATAAGTGTCGTTTATTACTTATATTTAGAAGTTTTAGCCTAGAGGTAGATATCATCGTACGACTTTCTGTCTATGTTCGAATTTACCAATCGTTCGTACGGTGAAGGAGGATATCGCGAGGACACCGGCATAGCTTAGAAACAAAAAGTTGATGTCGTGTATTATGCACAGGCTTGTCTATAATAAAAAAAGAAGATCAGAATAAAGAGTAAAATTATCTTAATATATATATAATTTTGTTTTATTACTACGCTACAATTTAATGGCATAACCACCAAAATAGCATGGTGGTCCCCATGACTGTTTCTCCTACCGTTTCCCTTGAATAGTTTGCTACTATGTAATATAACAAAAACCTTAGCCACAGCAACGCTTGGCCGGTCTGCTAGTAGCTATATAAAGCACATTGAATATCATTTACAAAACTGGTATTTCAAGAATATAAACCAACTAAGTATTTATTTGTAAAAAAGCTTTGAAAATTAAAATACCAAGGGTTTTTTTAATTAAAATATTGCTGTTTTGGTGTGTACAAAATTTTAATATTACGCTTTTACAGCCACTCCCTCTACTTCTTCTTCAATTGGGCTTTCGAGTGTGCAACGTAAGTTTTTATTATCTCCAACATTAACAATAAACTCAATTTCTAGGGAGTGTGAGGTTTTTTATAAGCGCAACATTAACATTACTTAATACAATAATCTTCTAATAATTGAACTAAACTATATGACAACTGGCATTAACAATGACCAATCACATCCTAATCGTTCTGGAGACTTCGTAAAACATATAGTGAATCAGTTACCAACATACATTGTCTAATATTCATATCGTCATATTCATGCGACGGTTTGAAAAATTTGTAAAACGGAGGCAAAAGAGAGGACGCTCTATTTTGTATTTCGAAAAAAATATTTTCCTTATGCATCTGTGGCTACTACTACCACTGGGTTTGTTTAGTCCAGAAGAGTCATTAATTTAAAAGAGTGTCTGAAATTTAAACCTACATGGTAGGTACAAACGAATAGATTTATTCACGTCTCTACAAAAGTTTAACTAAAATATAGAAATTATTTGTCCTGCATAGTATTTATCTGTAGGATGTATTGAACTTTACTGTAAGATTCACATAGTTTATGTATTTTCAGGTATTCCACCTGAAATTTTATTTGCGTCAACATTCGGTCGGCGATAAGGGCATTGTGAGCGAGATTATATACAACAAATATAGAAAACTACAACAATAAGTACAAAGTGCTTAAATGGATGTTTTTGTTTAAATATTCTAGATTAAGTTGTAATAAATTCTCGCTAATATACACAAAACATCTTTTATTTACAAAAAAGCTATTATTAAGTTGAATAACATAATAGCAAATCCATCAAATAATTAATTTCCTTTCAGCTTCCTTGAAGGTCAATCAGCTATGTGATGTTTTTGTATAATCCAAACAATTGCATTTTTTAACCTTAGGATTTAAATGCAGAACTTCGGCTCTAAATACATTGCCAATTGACTAAGCATTTTTAGACTGATATCAGCAAATATGCCTGGCTATACAAAAATATTTGCGCGGCAACAAAATGGTTGATGACACATGCGCGAAAACGTTGATAGCTTGTCCGGGCAAAGACAATGTCACTTTGCGCACAGCTATTGAAGATGCGCAACCGATCGAAATTGCGTCACTGGGCATCGTTACCAATGACATTAAGATAGGCACAGCTCATATAATATGACTATTTTGCAACAATAGTAGTAAATTGGTATTTAAAACTATGTATTTTCATAATTAGTCCGGTCAATTTAGACATTCGAAGTTACCTAAATTCCCACCAAGCTGAAAATCGGTAAGATTGTTTAAAATATCATTAAAAACAAAATTTGAAAGTTCCCCATCTTTCCCTTGTAAGGAAATTTTTTTATTCAAGTTCAAAGATAAAAAACATGAGTTTTTCGCGATTTTCAGCAAAACGGTAAGTTTTATCATAAAAATATTTCAAACAAAAATTGTAGATCATAAAATTATCTACAAAAAATTAATTAATACTTTTTTTTCTCCGAGCCACCGTTTTTGAGATATAACGCTTCAAAAAGTTGTAAAAGTTGTAATCGTCATAATATGCACACGTTTCCTCGTCACCTATGAGGTAGTGTACTTAGCGCGTTTTTTTTGTGGTTTCCCTAGTAAGCCTATTCCACCGGTTAGTTTTGATCCTCTTTAATTTGAAACTATTGAGAAATAATGGATAATATCCATTATTTCTGAGAAATTGAGAGATTGAATCTCTGCAGAGATTGAAAAGATAAAAGCAATTTAAGTTAAAAAAAAAGTAGTGAAATTTAATCGTCCTAAGATAAAACTTACCGTTTTGCTGAAAATCGCGAAAAACTCTTTTTTTTTACCTTTGACCTTGAAAAAAAAATTTTCCTTACAGGGGAAAGATGGGGAACTTTCAAATTTTGTTTTTAATGATATTTCAAACAATCTTACCGATTTTCAGCTTGGTGGGAATTTAGGTAACTTTACTCTTATTTTTTAGTCTAATTTGACCGGACTAAACGGCCTCCACATCCATGATGATCCATGATGCTAATATTTTATATCGCTTCTTTGAAAACTTATAAAAATAACCTGGAACCTTTATCGGTATCATAAATAATTAAAAATCAAACAAACATAGTGATGTTTTAATACTTATCTTTATTACTTGGCGTCACATTATTTTTATCACGACGGGGAAGACCCTAAGTTTATTAGTTTTTATTCAGGAAAGCAAAGCATATATAAAGTACTGGGCTTAAATAATTGCTTCACTTACAACTTGTTTATCATCAAGACTTACCGAGTAAGATCATAATGAAATTGTTTATATTTGTTGTCACAATCTTTTTGGCCCTCTTTGCCGTCATCAATGCTGGACCAGGTGGGTTATTAAATTATTAAAAAATATGAACTACATCTTTCGGAATAGAGTAACGTGGGTTCTATTTTTCTTTGTTGTTTTTTCTTTGTGCAACTCGCTTGAGTTAAATTAAATACGAAAATAAGAGAATTTCACGTGTGTCGCAGGATAATGTAATGTTGTATCAGAGACAATTAAAGTACTTTAAGTGATAGTATGTATATAGAACGCTCCAGGCTTGGGTGTCTACATTGGATATTTAAACAGGATTATATTCTGAAGTGCTAAAATAAAATATTAAGGTGTATTTAACTAAAGTTTACTACTTTAAAAAAGTTTAGAAGTAAATAGACGCACTTCATCGTGACAATATTGTTAAATTATAAAAGTTCATCTTTTTTAAAATTAAACCGGCATTTCACAGTTAAGCGGAAATATAGTTTATTGAACGCGCTGTTTTCCTTTATTATTAATTTGATTTTTTTTTTAAAGACAATTCACACCAATTATTGACCTAGTCCCATGCTAAGCTGGTGAAGCTTGTGTTATGTGTACTAGGCCACGGATATACGTATACATATTATAGATAGATAGACATATAAATACATATTTAAACACCCAAGACCTAAGCACAACACCAAATGCTCATCACATCGATGTTCGTCTCAGCCGGGGATCGAACCCGGGACCCATGGATTCGCAGTCAGGGGTACTAACCACTAGACCAATGAGTCGTCAATTAATTGTTACTAATAAATATAGGAAGATTAATTGGCGTTGATTTGGAAATTGTGAACGCAATTTTCGCTGTAACGATTCAGCAGTTTCAGTAAAACATATATTTAATCATATCTTTAAAATTATTTAAAAAAAAAATATTGAAATGTTCCACCTCAAACGCGTCTGTACATTATTATTTTAGATTAATGTTTTTGCAATGCTTAGATTTTAATCTACGATACATGTATCGTCGTATACATGTATCTTCCGTTAAACAATATTAAAAACAAATAATTGTATTTATTACAGTTAAAGAACTGGATCAGGTTAATGGTCGATTGCGTGTGCGCCGCGAGGATTGTAATCTGAGGGAGTGTAACGACTCATGTAAGCGCATCTTCCTGCCCGGAGGTGTCTGTGTTAGAAACAAATGCAAATGTGATATTTTGTAATAAATAAATAATTTTAATTTTTACTTTTATTGCATACATACTCTTTTTTCAGCATTCTTAAATGTTATTCTAACATAGGTTCCAAACAGAAAAATCCTTGTATTGTGAGACTCCTTGTAATTTTATACTAAGAGTATAAAATTACAAGGAGTCTCAGTACGACCATCGATTTCTATTTTAATGTTATTTGAGCCTTTTTTTGTTTGGTACCACGGTATTAGACCAAATTATTATTAATGGAATCTGCTGTGTAAAATAAAATTACAACAAACAACAATTAATTAATTAATTTGTTTCTAAGCAACAATTAGAAACAAACACTATGCTATTTTTAATAATAATTGATGTACTACTTATAACTAGATGTTTGGAACATTTCATCTACGCCTACCTGTTCATTCCAGCCATCAGTTAGGAGGGTACCAAAATCGTGTAACGCAGGGCTATTATCGTATTTATGATATTTCTGAGCATTTAAGTGCAAAACAACTCGTGAAATTAACATTATTACATGTTCAACAAATATTTCATTATATTTTAAATAAACACAAATGGCCCAATTCTTGTGTTAAGGATATAATTTTGCAGGTAATTATAAAAAATATAGTATTAAAACAAAACTTTCTTTGTATCAGAACTGTGAAGTGTAAAACTCAGCACCTAATTGTGATTTAATTACTAGATAAGGTGAGGTTTATTTTCTCTAATCTAAACGAGTTATCTGCCTCGACCCCTTATTATGTTTACGTGAGATAAAAACAAATACGAAGACTGATGCAAAGGTAGTAATGGTGTTTAAGTATAGGCGATTTTAATTTGTTTGGAAAATGTTTTCCCTAATTTAATCATGCAATCCAAAAGCTGCGACAAACTGCTTTCTCTCATATTCAAGCGTATATATTGTTTTACAATTATAGTTTCATTCAACATCATGTTTGAATTTTCTTAGCTTAAACCTAAGATTTATTTAATATAGAAGAATCATTTTTCGTATGAATTCCTACTAATAAATGTAAAACTGAGTTAGAATTATTGGATTTATTTAATCGACATTAATGTTTAACAGTCGTAATTTATTGTCAACTGTCACATGAACTTGACAGTTGATGTAAATGATTTTGTCTCTGAAAATGTTGTCTTACTATCTAATTTTCACTTAAATAATTGGTTTAAATTGTTAAGTTCCCATTATTAGGTCAGAAAGTAGTTAGCAGGTTAGAACTAAAACTTTTACTTTTTAATTCCCTCTTATTGTCGAAGTTTGAAGGCAAATTGAATATTTGCATTGTTCCCAAGTAGAAGTTGGACAGTTTTCAATTACTCTCGGCAAGTAAGCGGTGAATGCAACTATTTCACAACTATAATCTTTGTTGTCTGTAACCAATACGTTTAGCTTTATTATTAGTAATTAAATTAATTAGATTCAAACTCTTTATGGTTATGGTTTGTGGACTCGTTTTCCGCACTTAGACGTTCACTAGGTCCGTTGTACGTAAGTCCTGGCTAACTAAGCCAGCCTAACTCCTTCCAAAAGCACAGAAGCTTCCTGGGCACTTCGCAGTCTTCACGGAGCGACCTCACTGTTCCTCACAGCCTCGCATTCCAGGACTTCGTGGATGACTGATTCCTCTGCGTTCAAACAGCCTCTGCACATGGGGCTGTCTGTCGCGCCTAGGACATAAAGCTGTTTATTAAGGAGACAATGGCCCGTAATTGTCCCTATCATTGTTTTGAGGTTAGTTCTGTTTAGGTTTAAAAGTTGCTTTGTTATTCTTGGGTTAGCCACTGGCATAACAATTTTGGATTGAAACTCTTTAATATTGTCGTTGTTTATAACTTCCTCATAAATGATAAAACACTTCTTAGTTTTTTACGTTTACATTACTAGTAATTCATGGCTGAAACCCACGTTACGACCCTTATTAAATTACATCATACATTTTGTTAGGAACAATAGTATTCAGTAATAACAGCTTGGTTTACTATAAACCCGTGACTTAACAATATGATTCTAAAGAAAAAACTTTTTAACCGGATTAAAGTTATGTATTATTATAAATTTACAATTACTTAACATAATTTTAAATTTATCCTCCATCTTTTAGTCGATACCAAACTCCGGGGAAATAAATACAGATAATGCAACTTTCTCTACAGCTGTGATACTTTTTGACATCCAACACCTTTTGTCTTCAGTCACCGTGACCACGCACGCTGTAAAGCACGCGAAACGTCGGTTAAATTTAAAATTATGTAAAATAATTGTAAATTTATAATAATAAAAGTTTTTTCTTTAAATGTGTAAAGGTTATGTTAATCAAAGACAATACAATATGATTCTACTTATAGATTGAATAGATGACCCGGTATAATCGTCAACGACCAGTCACTTTCCGAGCGGCTTGATCCCTTAGCATCGCGTAAAGATGTAGGGTGTCTGAATCTTCTAAGGCGTTTACCGATTTCAGAGTTGTTCGGTTTAGTACCTTCAGAGTTCAGCTTTGTCACGAATTGTACCTTCACTATACGAGCTGCAAAGACAGATTTAAACTCATGACCTCGGGGTATAAAACTGCTCGGTTAAGTCTAACATTGCTGAGCTGATGTGGTTTTATTAACTATACAACATTTCATTTGAAACATCAGGCAGAGAAGATAGAATATCTCAAATTTAAAATATTTGTTAAGAGCTTTATCTAAACTGAGGATTAGGCTGTTGGACAAGATTTTAAAAACCATTTATCAGTGACATACAAATTGTAATGATTTATTTTGTAAATTTAAAAATTCAAATTAACATTCATAAGTTAAACAAAATGGCGTCGCACCAGTCCCTGTCCCGTGCCATACTAGTAAACAAACGTAATTTTTTACGATTTAGCTTCCTGCGATTTGTGTAGAGTACACAATTCGATCAAAAACCGATGAAATTAAACTACAGGACCATATTAGAATTAGAAAAGCGAATACATTACGAGCATGTTTCGTCATCGTCGTCGTCATTCGATTAATCCTTTTCTGCTTTATTAATGATATAATTAATGATTTGTACGAGTTTTAATACTTCATAACGCTTATTAAAGCCATGTTTTATACACATTACTCTCACTGTATTAACACTTTATTTTTCATACTGTCAAATAGCCTATTAAACATCTAATTCCATGAGTCGGAGTCACACTTTCTTATCGCTTTCCCACGATCTCTGATACACACGAAATCCTATGTTGTACTAAGTTAATCCAAATAGCAGCCTACACAAACAAGTATTAGTTTACCAACGTTTATTCTTGTCGTGTGGGGTCAAAGAAAATAGTTAGAACAAAGGGTCAGATCATAATCACAGATTAATATCACCAGTAATACTATATTAATTTATAAAGTGAAGCTACGGTGGACATACGACTTTGGTTGCTAATATACAAACAATAGGTGTTAAACAATTTTATTTAAATCATTGAAATTTCCCCGGCTTCGCGGTGGAGGTCTTCTTTGGAAGATAATAAAAATAAGTAAAATAAAATAAAAATTGCCTTTATTCGAGTACACTATAACTACACTAAGTCCATGTCATTTATGTTTTACACTAGTATTCGACCGCCGACGGAGTGAAGGCCTTCTCCAAATTCTTCCACTTGTCCCTATTCCTTTCGACATGTTCCAATTTTGCCCCGCTATCCCTTTTATTTCATCTTCCCAAGTTTTTGTTGGCATCAAAAAATACTCTAACTCTAACTTTAAGAAGTTGAAGTTCTTTAAGCATAAGCGCTTAAAGATATCAGTCTAATTGTAACGTTTTAACGAAAATTTAAACTGTCTGGTTTCATTCCAGCGAGAACACAATTTGACAGAAAGAGACAAAAGATGTATTTGATAAAAGAGTACAATTGACGTAATTTACTTTTTATAAATAATATAAGGCACTAAGACAATGCACTATTTAATAAACTCTTTATAAAGCACCCATGAATTATTAAATTTAAAATATTTTTGGGTAAGACAACTCTGTTTTGTTATTATTTTTCATTCTGTTACCAAATATGTGCATGTCCCACATTTTCAATTTAGATTTTTGTCAATTAATTAATTAAGCATTATAAATGATCTAAAGTAAAAGAAACAAGAGAAAAACAAAAATAAACTACAAGAAATACAGATTTAACAAACAGGGAAAATTAATTATTAAAACATATAAACAATAGTGTCACCCTATATTCCTAACTGTTTATAATATTCTGTGTTCTAACTACGCTAGAACAAACAGTGGTAGGTAGGGGTAAACAAGAGGGGATGAATAATATATCCTTCGCGTAATATCACTGCGACTAGATGTTCCTAAATTCTTTTGTAGGAATATTTGTTTGGTACTGACTATTTTAGAGAATATTATAACACAATAATTATAAATGACGAGACTATATTTTATATAACTTAATCATTTTCCCTTTTCACTCAATTAAACTCAAAAAATTTAGACGATTATCTAAGTAATTTTCATACTCTAAGCTAACTACTTCCTTATATCTATGCATTCATATAATGCAGAACACGTCGATTCCCTGGAAATAATAATATTTCGGGTAGGCATAGAAAGCTCTTCCTGAAGGGTATTAAAGGAATAAGATTACGAGAGATGTTAAATACATAAGTGTCATTATACTAAGAGAGCAGTGTTCAAGACTCTAGTGGCGTTTCTAGTACGGTAATGGAACATTTCGTAAGGTAACCGGCATGTCTAAGACTAGAAATCTTCAGGCACAGGCCTACCTATTTATCAAAGTAAACGACCAAGAAAGGGGTACAGAAATCTGACTTTAAGAAGAGTTGTAGCGCCACTGGGTCATTAAATTAGTTATTGATTGATTGATTGTATACGTTATACATAAATTAATTAAAAAATTTTATATATCCAAATTTATATAGGCAAATAGGCTTATCTGATGTTCAGCGACACCATCAGTCACGAACACTAACAATGCCAGAAGGTTCGCAAGTGCGTT